GCCAACTAAAATAGAAAATATCCAGGATGGTGGGCGCCGGCCCAGTTACATTAGAGGCTGAGGCACAGGGAGGCATCCACTTAGGCCCAGGGAGTTTGAGTTTGGTGTGAGCGTAGGCTGACGCCACGGCACTCACTCTAGCCTGGACAACAAAGAGACTCTGTCTCAAAAAAAAAAAAAAAAAAGAAAAGAAAGATCACAGCAATCTAAAACCGAACAAGGTTTTGGTTGTCAGATTCGCAAGGATACAATTTAGTGGCCTCGCATGAGATCCTTACCGACTTACGTCCTATGCCTAGGGTTAAGTCCCACTTTACACTTGTCTCTCGCTGTGAGCTCAGCCTGGAATTTGGGCACAGGCCTGTTCCGCTTGATGGGATATAGTCGTGCTCATAGATAATCATAACCGATTCGTTAAGGGAGGGTTAGCATGTGTTCGTATATTAGCTATGCTAAACCTGTTTTAGATAGAGCCCAATTGTACTTGCTTTTATAATCTTCACTCACGAGTAATAAACAATGTCTATTGTGGAGGGTCTAGGCATATGGGGGTTTAGTACTTCTGCAATTTGATAAACTAAATGCAGTGGCTAGAGTGAGTACCGTTGTGTCAGCCTAGCTCACAGCAACCTCAAACTCCTGGGCTCAAGCAATCCTACTGCCTCAGCCTCCTGAGTAGCTGGGACTACCGGCATGCGCCACCATGCCCGGAGAATTTTTTCTATATATATATATATATATTAGTTTGCCAATTAATTTCTTTCTATTTATGGTAGAGACAGGGTCTCGATCAGGCTGGTTTCGAACTCCTGACCTTGAGCAGTCCGCCCGCCTCGGCCTCCCAGAGTGCTAGGATTACAGGAATGAGCCACCGTGACCAGCCTATTGTGTCTCTTTTCAATTAATAAAGATAGTTAGAAGTTAACCATATTATGTAATCATTTGAAAGACTCAGGCTTAAATGCTGAGTTTGTGTAAGTGCAACCTGATTTTTCATTTGAGTAAATCTATAAACTACCAGTATTAACAGAGGTTAAATCTAAATTAATTCAAAGTTCAACATTAAGCTATAAAAGAAGCTTTAATTAAAACATCTTCAGTAATAGCAAAAGAATTTGTAAAGTATAATAGAATATTACTGTGTTTTTTTGAACTCGTTTTCTCAAAATTTCCCCTTTTATTTGCCTTATTGAAATTCTAACTCCCAAGCTACTTCTAAGTACAGTGGAGGGATCAGTAATGTTATTACCTGGGAGTAAAAATCTCAGGCCACAGGCTAGATTGTTGAATCAAAACCTACATTTTAGCATAAGATTACCCAGATGACAGGTGCACATCAGAATTTGAAAAGCACTCTAACCAATTCCTGGGATTGTATTTCATTGGATTAAAACTAAGTAATTGAGTGTTAAAACTGAGGTAATTTATTGATCACATAGTCACAGGTAAAGAAACTGATTAAGTTTATACATAGCATTTCTTTGTAAGTACAGAGAAGCCAGAACCCTTTTTTGTAATCAATCACATTGAACTTAAGTTTTCTCATAATGTAAACTCAGGTACATTGTTTCTTGGGTACAGAGCTTCATTTGCCTAATGTAAAATTGGGACATTGCTTCATCAAGGATTATATTGGGGACACAAACATTAATGTATTCGTGGAGTTTGTAGTCTAAGAACATAATATGTATGGTACAGTGTAGAAGAGGAAATTACTTTCATATGTTGTTTTTTTTTTTTTTTTTTTTTTTTTTTTTTTGAGACAGAGTCTTGCTTTGTTGTCCAGGCTAGAGTGAGTGCCGTGGCGTCAGTCTAGCTCACAGCAACCTCAAACTCCTGGGCTCAAGCGATCCTACTGCCTCAGCCTCCCGAGTAGCTGGGACTACAGGCATGTGCCACCATGCCCGGCTAATTTTATATATATATCAGTTGGCCAATTAATTTCTTTCTATTTTTATAGTAGAGACGTAGAGACGGGGTCTTGCTCTTGCTCAGGCTGGTTTTGAACTCCTGACCTTGAGCAATCCGCCCGCCTCGGCCTCCCAGAGAGCTAGGATTACAGGCGTGAGCCACCGCGCCCGGCCGTCATATGTTGTTATGAATGTTACAGAAGCTTCCATCCCACTCACATTTTCAGATTCTTTAGTGTTAAATTTTACCATAGGGAGCCATTCACTTACAACATTTTTAGAGGGACTTTCAAGTTAAGGCAGAATAATTAATAAGGATGTCAAGGATTACAGGACAGTCTAATATAATTGATATATTTAGTGTTTCCCTCATGGAAACATGAAAGTTTCTAATGAAATCAAATTTTATTTTATAATTTAAACTCAAAAGATACATAGAAGTTATCCATTTAATAAAATTTGCCAAATAGCAACTAAGTTGTTAACTGTTTTATGGGAGAAAAGCAACCAATCTTGACCCTTCTGTTTTGGGGATGTATTACATATTAGTTTTGGATCATGTTAAATATATTTTCCCCTTCTCATTCTTTCAGATTCATCAGGATTCATTTTTGATTTGCAGTCCAATACTGTACTGGCTCAGGGAGGAGCTTTTGAGAACATGAAAGAGAAGGTAAGACTAGGCACTATGGATAGTAAACTTGAATGTCATAGGAAAATGTATTTACTAATATAGTCAATGGCTATCACAAACTCATTATGAAAGTGAAATTTTAAGAACAAAACAATGCCTCTATATATCAGAGTGACCACTATGACGTTAAGTGCCAACATGATTTTCTTTACATATCTCCGTATATATTCATTCTAAATTCTTTTGAAGATATTTAATATTAATTAATTAATATTTATATGGCTGAGTTTGCATCTCATTTGGCAACATTCTTTGAGGAACAATCTGAGTAAGATCCTGTTATTCACTTGAAGAGCAAGCAGTAAGTCCAGGAGACATTAGAGCAAAAAGAGAAATAGATCTTCTACAGAGCATTCCTTTGGAAGAAAACCAGATATTTTTAGTAATATAGCCCTTAATGAACTATACTGAGAAAAATATAAAAAGCTTTATATGCTTTTTGCCTTTCTAAAAAAGTATATTGTCATAGATATACAGTGGTTCAGTAGTATAAACACTCACATTTTGAATTATCAGAATCTTACCTTTATCATGGAATCTGTAAGTTTTGCCTAAAGTCCATTTTTTAGACATCAATGCTAAGGGTTTTGTTTTATTTTATTTTTGAGACTGGGACTCGCTCTGTCAGCTGATTAGAATGCAGTAGCGTCATTATTAGAATATCTAGTTTAGAGAGCAATTTGGCATTGTCTGATGAAGTTGCAGATGCCCTACTATCCAGGAATTGTACTAGTAGTTATATAACAGACACATTCTCTCAGTGTTCACAGAAGATTCAATTTTTTTTATTGTTTACTATGTTCTAAAGATTGTTTTATGCACTGAGGATTTAGCAGCATAAGAATATTCATTACAGCATTGTTCCTAATAGCCAAACACTGGAAACAATGTAAGGGTCATCAATAGAATGAATAAATTTGGTATATCATACAATGGATATACTATGTGGAAGTTAAATGAGTAAGAGACATATTTATCAACATGGAAAAAAACCTAAAAAACAATGCTACCTAAAAAAAGCAAATTGAAGATAAATATGATATAATAATATTTATGTAATGTAAAGTAATAATGTATATTACCTATGGCTACATACACACATCATAAAAATGCAAAAGCATATATTGAAATAATACCAAATTCAGGGTAGAAATCTCTGAGGAGAGAAGAAGGGAAATGGGATTTAGTAGGCATTCATGGGGCTTCACTAATTTTGTTTTGTTTTAGTAAACAGGGTGTCACGTAGTGGGTGTCCATTACGTTTTATGTACCTGAAATAGTTTATAATAATTAAATTATATATATAACGTTTATATCCAATTAAATGATATAAAGTAAACATATTTTAGAAAATGCTATAAAAAATCTAAGTTATTAATTTTGGTGGTTCATTAAACTTTCCACCTTTCTTACAGTATGCTAAAAATGAGTGAATGTTGATGAGTGAATGTAGTACCTGAATAACTAAATTAAACTACCCTTTCTTGATGTAAAATCTAGTACATACGTTCTATTTCTAGAAATGTTCTGCTTTTCTAAGTTTTGAAATTAATTTTTTATATGCTGTTCTCATTCGTGTATTAATCATTCCCAGTGAGATGGTTGTAGGTATTCTCACTGACACTAAAGAGTGATAAATATTATTAAAAATGAAATCACTCTTTCTGTTATTCTCTATAATAGGCCTCAGCTGCCTAGTGACCTATAGATGTTAGAATTAAATGACCCTGTCATCTCTTCCAGATAAATGCAGTACGTGCAATAGTTCCCAACAAAAGCAACAATGAAATCATCCTGGTTTTGCAGCACTTTGATAATTGTGTGGACAAAACAGTACAAGCATTCATGGAAGGTAATCCTAGCTCAGTTTTTTTTTTTAAGTTTGTATTTGTTCAAATAGAATTTGCTTCAGACTTTTATAACATTCAACCATCCAATTCTTCATAGATAATATAGCAGACCCCATGATAACATACCATACCATGACATTTTAAAAATGTTAAATAACCTCTTTCAATACTGTAAGCAATTCACTCATAAGTTATATGATATATGGAATAAGAGACAAGCTGAGAAACACCATTATTTTGCTCAAAATGTTCTCTAATGGTATTTAGAAAGAAATTGTGTGGCCAGTGGTATAAGGAACTTGATTGGATTTGGGTTGATTAAGAATGTAAGAGACTCTTAATATCAAAGTAGTGAGTCAGTGGCCCAGCAACAGATGGCAAATTCAAGGACTCAGCATTCTCTTCTGGACTCTAATATCATTCATTAGTTTGGCTCTGGCAAGTGACTCAAATGTGTGGGTTTAAATTTCCTTATCTAACATATAGAAGATTGGAGGGCTTAGTCAAATAGTTCTGTAGAGTTGAAGAATGTTTTACAAGCTGCTTTCCACATAACTCATTTGAGAAAAACTTTACCATAAGCTACTGTATCATTGAAAAGCAACATCAGATTGGGTCTCCGTGTTTCCATTTTCCTGAATTTGCCAGTATAGGATAAACAGATCCAAATGCTATAAGGTTTTTTATTGTCTTCATTTATTTATTTATTTATTTATTTATTTATTTATTTATTTATTTATTTTTTTGAGACAGAGTCTCACTTTGTTGTCCAGGCTAGAGTGAGTGCCGTGGCGTCAGCCTAGCTCACAGCAACCTCAAACTCCTGGGCTTGAGTGATCCTTCTGCCTCAGCCTCCCGAGTAGCTGGGACTACAGGCATGCGCCACCATGCCCGGCTAATTTTTTACATATATATATCAGTTGGCCAATTAATTTCTTTCTATTTATAGTAGAGACGGGGTCTCGCTCTTGCTCAGGCTGGTTTTGAACTCCTGACCTTGAGCAATCCGCCCGCCTCGGCCTCCCAAGAGCTAGGATTACAGGCGTGAGCCACAGCGCCCGGCCATTTATTTTCTTTTAATGTTAATGTTTGCGTCTAAGATAATTGTGTAGCTCTCTCCAAAACAGTGTAGCCAATGTGATATGTAACCTGGAAGGGAGGTGATGGCCCATTTTGGCTAAAACCAGTCATCTTGGTATTTGATCTAAGATGTATAGATAAAAGAATCTTCAGAAAGGCCAGGCTATGTTAGTCTCTTCTTGGAAGAACTTACTGAGGGAATTACATGGAGAAGAGCTATCTAGGCAGATATTCCAAAAGGGAAGCAAGAATGGTTATCTCATTAAATTACTTCAGACACTTGAATCCTTAACTTTTCCTATTAGGAGCTTTGGAAATTCTCCAGCAATTACAAAATGGGGGGTGGGGGGGGACACTAATTCCTGCTTGTGTGTGGTAGGAGAGAAAATCTATGATTGGTTTCTCTTACAGGTAGTGCCAGTGAAGTACTCAAAGAATGGACAGTAACAGGCAAGAAAAAGGTAAAAATGAATTAAATTTAAAAGCATGATATTGATGTTTATATTATTTCTAAAAATTTAGGCTCTGCAAAAATATTTGAAAGCAAAGGTTTACGTACACATCTTTAGTTTACCTGGGTTAAAAACACATCTTCTTCTTTGACATGGAACCACAGCTGTGTCTCACTGAGTGCCACACAGTCCCCTCCATGTGGTTTAAGGCAGGAAACAGAATGACTTTGCCATGCCACAGTGCATTTGCTGAGGGAATATTGGACGGAAGTGAAAAAGAGAGCAAATCAAAGAAAGTAGAGCTCCTCCAGACAAAGTGATCTAATTGAGTAGTTTTCAACCATATTCATATTAAATAAGTTATAATAATAAAACAGTTCAGATTTTTAGGTCAGACAACTGGACCTAATATTAATTAGCTTTGACATAAAGCCTAAAGAGGGCCTTTGCTTCTCTATTAGGTGACTTGCATAGGGCTCTGATATTCCAGTTTGAGAAGGCAGAAGGCATTTGCGCTATGGATTCAGTCAGAACTGAATTTCTATCCTGTTCCACTGTATGCTGCCTTTGTGACCTGGGAGTATCGTTTAACCTTTATATGCCTTAGTTTCTTATCTCTAAACAGGAAAATAATACTAATAAGTACAAGGACCTAAATATAGTTCCTAACATATTAGTCCTCATTCTGTTTTCCTTATCCACTTAAGACCAAATGCTTTTCCCAAAGGATACTAGGTTGTCTTAAAATTCTCCCCACAGCTCTATACCTTATATGTAGCCTCTTAAGGAAATGCTTTAAGTATGGATTTAATCAAGTATCTCTGTGAAATCTGTTTGGGGTATTCTTTTCTATATTAGGTTAGTGCTGGAGTTCTGAAATGTTTTCTTGATAACTCTTATATCACTTTATTAGGAGTCTTTTCATGTCTTGACCAAACCAGGCTTGGCCTCAATGACCCTTCAGAATTTTTTCCAAGGGATACCTAGTATTATACTACCACATTCTCCTGAAGCTCTCCATGCCTGAAGCTTTGAATGTTTGTTTAACTTCTTTCCACTGCTTTCAACCTACATAGATAGCTTTGAGTGTTCTGGAAAACACCAATTTCTTAATTTATTGGCTCAGGATTATAAGTTATTAATGTTACAAGATATGCGTGAAGGCCGGGTGTGGTGGCTCACGCCTGTAATCCTAGCACTCTGGGAGGCTGAGGTGGGAGGATCGCTCAAGGTCAGGAGTTTGAACCCAGCCTGAGCAAGAGCGAGACCCCATCTCTACTAAAAATAGAAAGAAATTAATTGGCCAACTAATATATATATATAGAGAAAAAAAATTAGCCGGGCATGGTGGCATGTGCCTGTAGTCCCAGCTACTCAGGAGGCTGAGGCAGTAGGATTGCTTGAGCCCAAGGAGTTAGAGGTTGCTGTGAGCTAGGCTGACACTATGGCACTCACTCTCTAGCCTGGGCAACAAAGCGAGACTCTGTCTCAAAAAAAAAAAAAGATATGCGTGAAGCTGGAAAAGTATGTGTGTTAGAGATAGGCAAATTTCTTAAAATATGGAGAAAGAAAAATGGCTTTATTTTGGCATCTCAAATGCCCTAATTCAGTCCATTTAACTTTTGAGATTAGTCCAATAGGATGTGACTATGGGTAGTTTCTGGCATAGTTATTACATACATGGGATAATGATGTGAAAACTTAGCCAGTTTACATAGACTTATTTAAGAGAAAGAAAGTTGAGAGCTGTGTGGAGGAGAAAATTATATCTAGAATTCAGTAGTGCTCTTGCAGGAGAGGGCCACAGAAAGGACTTGGGGAAAACTGATTGAGTTGTATCTTTCTAGCTTTAGGAATAGAATTTAAGTATTGCCAGTGGAGCTGTGGGTTGACAAAACAAAAGATAAAGGACTTTTTTGTTTAATTTTATTGTTAACATAGATAATACATTCCCATGGCTCAAAATTCAAAGATACCAGACTTAATACACTGAAACATCTTTATCCCATTCCTTTGCCCCAGGCATTTGGTTCCCCCCACACTAGGCAAACAGTGTATTATCAATTTCTTATGTATCTTCTAAGATATTTTATACACATATAAACAAATAAGAATATATGTTCTCCTCTTTGCCTGCTTTTTTTTCATGTAGCATATCTTGGAGCTTATTCCATGTCTTAATATATAAAGAGCTTTCTTATTGTTTTTTATGTATAGTTATCCTATTGTTTGGATATACCGTAACTTATTTAACCAGACTGATCAACATTTGGGTTGTTACTAATCCTTTGCTTTTAATAACAATACTATAATACTTGTGTGTGTGTTTGTGTATGTGTGTAATTTTGCACAAGTGTTAGTCTTGCCTAGAATAGATTTCTAGAAGTAGAATTACTGGGCAAAGGGTATATGCATATATAATTTTGATAAGTATTGCTAGATTACCATAGAGAGTACCACTTTACACTCCCACAAGTATTACGAGAATGTGTGTTTCTCTATATCCTCAACCCTCTTAACCCTACAGTGTTATCATACTTTTCCACTTTTGCTAGTCTAATAAATAAAAACTGATAATTCATATCTCTTATTAGACTGGGGTTGCACTTCATTTTATATGTTTATAGCTTCTAACATTGTTTTCTATGGATTGTTTTATTTTTTGTTAGCTCTCTGTATATGTCTAACTCTTTGTTTGAATATAAGTTGCACATTTTTTTTTATATTTTGTAATTTATCTTTTGATTTTGCTTAAGGCAGGTTTTGCCATGAAGAAATGTTTATATTTATGTGTTTGAGTTTATCCAAAGTATAAGATTTTATATAGTAAAATTTTATTTTAGGCAGTAGTTCAACATATACAAAAATGTGTTAAATGGAAGAACACATGAAAAATTGGTAACATTGATTACCTTTGGATAGCTAGAGTTACCTATCTGGATTTTTTTTTTGGGGGGGTCCTTCCTTTTCTTTCCTTTTTTTCAAATCTTTAATACCCTTAGAACAAAAAGAAGAAGAACAAACCAAAACCTGCAGCAGAAGCAAGTAGCAGTATCCCAGATTCCAGTAAATCAGTTTCTATTCAAGAAGAACAGTCTGTGCCTTCCTCAGAGAAAGGTGGTGTTAATGGTTACCACATCAATGGTGCCATCAATGATACTGAGTCTGTGGACTCACTCAGTGAAGGTTTGGAAACACTTTCAATAGATGCCAGAGAACTGGAGGATCCTGAGTCTGCCACACCAGATATGCTGGATAGAACAGGTGAGTTTGTTAACAGATTTTTGAAAAGATGCATTCAGTTGAAATAGACAGTAGCCTCCTGGTTGAGAATGTAATCAATAAATTAAATCTAGTTTACTCTTTAGTTTTTATTGCCTTTTGGGTAAAAGAGCCACATTTATGGCCAGGCGCGGTAGCTCACGCCTGTAATCCTAGCACTCTGGGAGATAAGGTGGACGGATTGCTCGGGGTCAGGAGTTCGAAACCAGCCTGAGCAAGAGCAAGACCCCGTATCTACTATAAATAGAAAGAAATTAATTGGCCAACTAATATATATAGAAAAAATTAGCCAGGCATGGTGGTATATGCCTGTAGTCCCAGCTACTCGGGAGGCTGAGGCAGCAGGATTGCTCGAGCCCAGGAGTTTGAGGTTGCTGTGAGCTAGGCTGACGCCACAGCACTCACTCTATCTAGCCTGGGCAACAAAGCGAGACTCTGTCTCGGAAGAAAAAAAAAAAAAGAGCCACATTTATTATCAAAGTCCTAGAAAAATATAATTCTTCCATTTTCTCATATTTTGACTCTAGCTGAGTCTTGTGGAAGTCTTCTAACTTAATAGCAGAGGAGTACCTTAAGAGACTACAAAAGGTTTTAAGACTTTTAAGTTTTTTTTTTAAAAAATTGTAGGCCAGGTATGGTGGCACATGCTTATAATCCCAGCACTTTGGGAGGCTCAGATGGGAGGATAACTTGAGGCCAGGAGTTCGAGGTAACAGTGAGCTATGATCATGGCACTGCACTCCAGCCTGGGTAACAGACCAAGACCCTGTCTCAAAACTAAATGAATAAATAAATAATATTGAGAAAAATCATGATGAGATGATGATGTTGCTATTATTAGTCTAAGACCTAGCATAATGAAAAATATGTGACGATAATTATAATCCCAGCTTTCACAGGAACTAGACTGTTGGTTTTTATAGTCTCACATTTTCTTTCTGGTAAAGTGTTAAGATTAGGGTTATAAATTTACATTTTTGTATTATTTGTTTGTTAACCATTTTGTTAAGGGCTGGGAATTTGCTGGGAATATCTCTTTTTAAAAATTCTATCCTAGTACTCTGGGAGGCCAAGGTGGAGGATCACTTGAGTTCAAGAGTTCAAGACCAGCCTGAGGAACAAGGAGACCTGTCTCTACTAGAAATAGAAAAACTTAGCACGCATGGTGATATGCACCTGTAGTCCCAGGTACTTGGAAGGCTGAGGCAGGAGGATGGCTTGAGCCCAGGAAATTGAGGTTGTTGTGAACTAGGCTGACACCACAGCACTCTAGCCTGGGCAACAGAGCACGACTCTGTCTCCAAAAAAAAAACCCACATATTTGTTAATCTAATTCCTCTTGCCTTGCTGCTTCTGGCTTTATAAATGTAATGCCAATGTAAGAATTATGTTGTGCTTTTTAGATGTTCTTTTATTGGTTAGTTTACATACACACCCCCACACACAAAGACTTAGAGAGAACCATTGCACCTATATTGACCTCAGACAAACCAATTATAGTCAGTGGCTTTCATTTTTTTTCTGAGCTAGCTTTCTTCTCATTTCCTAACTCTTTGTCCTTTCTATTCCCTAAAGCTTTAAATTCTTCTTTCTTCTCATTATAACTTATGGAAGCTAGCAGAAGTTGGTGATACTGACTCTTTCTTTTCTTTTCTTTTTTTTTATTTTTTTTCATTATTATTATTATTTTTTGAGACAGAATCTCGCTTGTTGCCCAGGCTAGAGTGAGTGCCGTGGCGTCAGCCTAGCTCACAGCAACCTCAAACTCCTGGGCTCAAGCAATCCTTCTGCCTCAGCCTCCCGAGTAGCTGGGACTACAGGCATGCACCACCATGCCGGGCTAATTTTTTATATATATATATATATTAGTTGACCAATTAATTTCTTTCTATTTATAGTAGAGACGGGGACTTGCTCTTGCTCAGGCTGGTTTCGAACTCCTGACCTCGAGCAATCCGCCCGCCTTGGCCTCCCAGAGGGCTAGGATTACAGGCTTGAGCCATTGCGCCCGGCCTGACTCTATTTTCTTATGTCAGAGTTACAAAGCAGCTACCAAGCTACAGGGAAGCCACTAAGCTGTAGGGAATGAGCTCCCTATCAAAAGATGTGTTAACCACAGACTCCTCTTCTTCATTCACATGCCATTTAGGGCTAAGCCAGAAGCTACTGATAGCCACAACCACTGATTCTGATCTTTGTTGTATTTTGTCAATTGATTTTGTTCACAACCTCTTAAGGGGCATGTTTTTGCCTAAAACATTTTTACTTGTTTTCTTTGTGTACTTAAGATTGCTCGATTGATTTACATCTAAATTGTGCTCTAAAATACTGTCCTCTTTCTTGGACAGGATCCATGCTGGAGAATGGTGTCTCTGATTTTGGGTCCAAGTCCTGGACTATGCACTCTATTCAGAATTCTCAACAATCCAGGAATGCTGCCAAATCTCTCTCAAGACCTACCACATCACCTCAGTTGTCAAATCTGGGGATGGAAGATGTTCCCTTCTCCTCCACCAATAAAAAGTTAGGTAAGTGAGGGGCCCACCTGTGAGAGAGAAAGAAAAATCTGTGGTTTTGGTTAAAGAGGGCAAATTATCTCATGTTCTCATAGATAAGGTTTCAGAAGGGCATCTAGTAATACTTTTTGGTTTGCCAGGCAGTGACTACCTAGCCCTTCCCCTACCTCTGTGTATTCTGCTGGAGCCCGATAGTAGTTTAAATGCTGTACAGTCTTATTACAATAAGTGAATTAAAGTCAAATTCTACTGTCAGGATGACTTATCTGCTAACATTAACCTGTTTCTTTTATTTGCTTTACTGTAATGTTTTTGTGCTATTTCCTTCATTTTTATCTCCTGGTTGACTCACAAGTAAAAAGCTCTTCCATCTCTGAGATGACATTTTAAAGAAATATTTTCACTCCTCTTCACAACTTCATGCTCTTACTAATGTCTGGCAGACTCTAGCTTTAGATAAGATCATTTCCTCTTAAGTAAGTACTTAGCATTGACTGGCAGTAGCTCTTTGCTTTGCCCTTTTTTTAAAAAAACTATAATAATCATTTGAATAAACAGCTAATAATTTAACAGAGATAGTAGCCCCTCTGAGTTTTATAACATCGACCCAGGCATAGTGGGCCCACCATTGAAACAAATGAACATACACAGAAATGTAACAGGACATTGAAGCCAGTAGCCTTTAGGAACTATTATTCCATATGAACTAATATTAATAGTAGGCCCTTCCCTCATTTCTATAGGCCTCCAGGCCTGCTGGGGGAACAGCAAAGTCTTCGGACCCTGTCGCCAAGCCAAAAAATAAAAGAAGGTATATACGGCCACAAGCTGAAAGCTTTAGGTAGTTCGGACAAAGAAGAACCAAGTTGACCAAATGAGAAGACTTTTAATAAAACAATGAAAACAGTGTATCTTGGCACAATTTAAACTTTCAGATCCATCTGAATTCTGCACCAGTCAGTTGCTATATAATGCAACTTTGTAATAAGTAAAAGTAAAAGAATTAAAAAATTCTTGGAAACTGGTAAGAATGGTACTCGGGTAGTAACGCGCATTTCCATCCCTTTTCTAGGCAAAGCTGGCGTTTCCTCCCCCACATACTGTGCTTTCAAAACTGATGCACTACATACAGAGGGGGGGACAGAGCAACTTTTTAATTTTGCCCAATCTGCCACCATGGTACAGAAATAATTCTTTTACTTTTTTTTTCTTTTATGTCTTCTCTTGGAGAAAACTTGCTTTGTTGCCCAACGGCTAAGGTGAGTGTGTGGCGCACGCTGAGTTCATCAGCAACACCTCAAACTTCCTGGGCTCTAGAGCATCCTGTCTGGATGCTCAGCCTCCGAGTAGACTGGGAACTACAGGCATGTGGCCACCATGCCTGGTAATTTTTCTCGTATATCATGTTAGTTGCCAGATTAATTCTTTTCTATTTATACCGAGGAGACAGGACTCGCTCGTGTCAGGCTTGGTTTCAAACTCCTGACCTCGAGCAATCCGCCTGCCTTGGCCTCCCAGAGTGCTAGGATTACAGGCGTGAGCCACCACGCCTAGCCTAAATTATATTCTGTTTTTTGTAGAGACAAGGTCTCGCTATGTTGCCCAGTCTGGTCTTGAACTACCGGCCTCAAGCGATCCTCCTGCCTCAGCCTCGCAAACCACTGGGATTACAGGCATGAGCCATGATGTCCAGCCTCTTTTTGAAGTCTTTTTTCTCTCTGCGTAGTTTCATTTTGGGTAGTTTCAAATATTGCTGTCTTCAAATGTATTAATCTATTTTTAAACTGTTTCTAGTCTGCATTTAATTCCATCCAGTATATTTTGCATCTCAGACATTGCTTTTTACATCTCTAGAAGTTCAATTGGGGTCTTTTAAAATATCTTTCATGTTTTTCCTTAACATGCTTATGTGCTTTCCTCTACCTTCTCGAACCTGTGTCATCTAATCATAACAGCTGTTTGATGCCCTTACCTTCTTAATTCTATCATCTCTGTCACTTCTACATCTGTTTCTGTTGATTGATTTTTCTCTTCATTATAAGTTATAGTTTTCTGCTTCTTTGTATGCCTAATTTTTTATTGGATGCCAGACGTGAATTTTACTTCGTAGATTACTCAATATTTTTGAATTTCTTTAAATATCCTTATGATTTTTGGGAGGACTTGGTTATGTGGAAACTGTTTGAGGCTTGCTTTTAAGCATTGTTGGATGGGACTAGAGCAGCCTTTTAGTCCAGGGTAATTTTGCCTTGTTACTGAGGCAGTATCTTTCCAAGTATTCTGCTTGGTACCACATGTATTGTGTCCCATTTCTCACTCTTGCTGGTGTGAACACAAACTATTCCTGGCCTGGGTAAGCTCTGGTGATTGTTCCGCTTGCTGCTTTCCACCTGTTCTTTTTCCTGTCTCGGGTGGTTTCTTCACACTTGTGCACTGATCAATACTCAGAATCCTCTGTAGTTCTGTGTAGCTCTATCCTCACCAGTACTCTCCCCTGAGAATTCTAGCCACCGTGGCCTCCCTGAATTTTCAACTCTGCTCACTCAAATCAGAGAGACTACCAGGCTCAGTTAAGTATTTTTCCTCCCTGCACTACAGCCTGGAAACTCTCTTGAGGCAATAAGTTGGGGCAATCATAGACCTCACTTCATTTGTTTCTGTTTTCTCAGGGGGAAAGTACTCCCTGCTGTCCATTGGCTGACCGTTGTTTTGTATATTTTGTCAGTGTGTGCCTGTGTTTAGTTGTTTAAGATAGGAGAATAGGCCGGGCGAGGTAGCTCACGCCTGTAATCCTAGCACTCTGGGAGGCTGAGGCAGGCGGATTGCTCGAGGTCAGGAGTTCGAAACCAGCCTGAGCAAGAGCGAGACCCTGTCTGTACTATAAATAGAAAGAAATTAATTGGCCAACTAATATATATAGAAAACACTTAGCCCAGCATGGTGTGCGTGCCTGTAGTCCCAGCTACTCGGGAGGCTGAGGCAGCAGGATTGCTTGAGCCCAGGAGTTGAGAGTTTGCTGTGAGGCAAGGCCGACGCCACGCACTTGCTCTCACTGGGCAACAAGCGCGAGACGCTGTCTCAAAAAAAAAAAAAAAGATAGGAGAATAAATCCAATTCTTGACTGGGCTACTTATTGTTTCAAAAATCTATGAAAACATCAGTTTTTTTGTTGGAGAGAGTGGTCACTTAGAAAACATCCTTAGTCCACACGACATTTGCCTTAGGTGTTCATATCCAACTGTCAAGTTAGCTATGACCTTTTCTTTATTAATCTTGGGTTTTTTTCCCCCAAGGTTCCAATATTGAAAAATCTGTAAAAGACCTCCAGCGCGCACAGTGTCACTTGCACGGTATCGAGTTGTAGTTAAAGAAGAGATGGATGCTTCCATTAAGAAAATGAAACAAGCTTTTGCTGAATTGCAGAGCTGGTAAGTTAAGTTGCATTTAATATCACGTAGCATAAAAATGATCACTTCATAAAGATGGTCAGCCATTCACCAAATTCTTTCATTCCCAACTCCTAACTAACTACATAGTGGGAGACTAATTCTGTGGTGTAATTAGCTTTCTGCTTCATTCTACTTTTAGTCATGTGGGATGAGTAATACAAGAACCCACAATGTTCTAGAAATGGGCCTGAGTGAATATTATTGAGAAAGGGACAAATAATTACAGAGTAGATTATACCCTCTTACTTTAAGGTCTGTCACCAGGATCCTATAACAAATGAGATGATGTTTTTGAACAAAATTGTAAAGTGGAAAAGATCTATCTTTGCTCCTGTTCTTCCATCCTTCTTAATGCACCCCATCCCAATGGTCTTTTCTGTGCCCCATTATTAATTATGGATTTGTTTTAATTTTATGTTTCAAACTGTGCTCTGTGGAATACCATTTCTTAAGATATATTAGTATATATTCTTTGGGGAAAACTGGGTTTGGAGGTTAAAGAGATATGAAAATACTTTATTTTACTTCTCAGTGGCCTTTCAATGCTAATGTGTCTTGTGACTTATAAGAAGACGCTATACTCGTGTTTATCAATATATTGTATGATGATAGAATCTTTTGGGGGAAGAATATATTTGTCTTAGTCCATTTTGCTGCTGTAACAGGATACCTGAGCTGGGTAATTTGTAATGAACAGTGATTTATTCTTACCGTTCTAGAGACTGGGAAGTCCAAGGTCAAAGGGCCACATCTGCTGAGGGCTTCTGATGTGTCATCCCATGGCAGAAGGCAGAGGGACAAGAGAGCGCAAGTGAGAGACAACCAGAGAGGGCCAAACTCACTTTTATAATGAACCTACTCTCATGATAACACATTAATCCATTCATGAGGGCCATGACAATCACCTCTTAAAGGTCCTACCTTTCAACATTGCATTGGGGATTAAGTTTCCAACATTTGAACTTTGGGAACACATTCAAGCCATAGCAAATTCTAATGTTTCCCAGAACACTGATCTGTTTAACTATTAAACATTAAGGTGTTGATCGGGCACGGTGGCTCACACTGTAATCTAGCACTCTGGGAGGCCGAGGCGGGTGGGATTGCTTGAGGTCAGGAGTTCCACAACCAGCCTGAGCAAGAGTGAGACCCTGTCTCTACTAAAAATAGAAAGAAATTACGGCCAACAATATATTAGAAAAAAATTAGCGGGCATGGTGGCACATGCCTGTAGTCCCAGCTACTCAGGAGGCTGAGCACGTACGCGACCTTGCTTGGCCCGGTGAGCGTTGCTGTGAGCTAGGCTGACGCCACGGCACTCACTGTAACTTGGGCAACAAAGCGAGACTCTGTCTCAAAAAAAAAAAAAAAAAAAAAAAATTAAGGTGTTAACTGAAATTTAAGCCGTAGCTCATTTCTGGGGGTATTTGCATTTTATAAGGGATTTTTTGAAACTGGAAAAGACTTAAGGAACAAATTAATCAAAATGATTGGAAGGGAAGGAGTTAGGTTGATGTTTTGGGACTTTGGACTGTTCACTCTACTTAATTGTAATAACTGCTTAGATCTGAAATATGGGAGGAAGTATTCATGAATAGAGAAACTCTACACCACTATTCCTCACAACCATCCATCGTTTTCTTGCTGCCTGTCTGTGGACTGTTCCCTTAGGTCATACCCAACTATGTCTCTATTCACAAAATTAGTCTGTCACTTTGTGCCACAACAAACCAGAGATGGAGGAGTGTGGGTCCCCTCAGTCCTCCTGGTCTCTGGAATTGAAGGAGTGAATTAATAAAGATGAATTAATTAACACCTCCAGAAAGTTAAATCATCATAACCAAAAAGTACTTTCAGGATAGAAAATTCATCTAGTAGTCTACCCATGCCTGGTCTTGAACCCTGAGTTTACCTTTGAGGTTTTATAGCTAGGAACTTAATACCATGTCTTCTGTTTTTCTTAACATACATTTTTGTTCCTGCCAGATTAACTCATTGTCTCACAATTTAACATTCACATTTCCTCTTCATATGCTAGTTAATACCACTTTCCCAGCCCAATAAACCCTCTTATACCTCTCTATTTATCTAAATCCAACCAATTCTCTAAAACTCCCCTTAAATTTTTAAAGCTCTAACTTTTCCTGAAAATTTTTCTAGGTAACTGATTTCTCCTTTTTCTGAACCTCTGGGAGGAAGAACCTTGCCCTTTGTACTACCTTCTTGTCATATTGGATATTGTTGGCTCATTTGGAAAATAAAGAGCTAAGTGTAGGCCATCACAACTTTGCCTTGATAAGCCTCTGGTCTCCTTGATTGTTTAGCTTACTGATTACTTAGCCACAGGATCTGATTCCATTCAGAACAAGCCTAAACCAGGAAACACAGTTCAGGGAGAGAGATGTGTGAGTTCCTGCTGACTTGGAACCCAGCCAGGAGGAGCCTCCTTCAGTAAATGACAAATGAAATGGTTTCCTGCCTGGGAACTGTGTATTTAGGATTGATTAGCAGGCGTAACAGCCAGGTCAATTTAACTTGAGGAAAGAGATTACTTGCCCTTTCCTGCTGGTATAAAGCCCTTCTCTCTGGCTGATTGGGTTTATAAACTACCTTATTTCAATGTTCCTTGTAGTTGCTACTTCAAGACATAATTGGCAGATGAGCTAACTCCATTTGGCACCAAACCAGAACTTGGAGTTAATGTCACTTAGGAAACCATTTTTGTGTTGGTTATAGTATAAAAGGAAAGAAAAGGGTTCTAACACATTTGCAGCAGTAAGATTACATTACTTCTGACAGGGCACTAGGGGAATTATACAGATAACTCCTTTCACTTTGATGCCAAATAAAAACTGATACACCTATAGGAAGGTAAAATCAGAAGCTTTCCAATATATACAACTTAAAATTTGTTCTTATTGATGATTTAGTAATAATCATCTCTAGATCCAAGTTTACTTACCTCGTTAATTAATAATACTTCTCTACATTGTTGGAGCTGTTAGTTGACTTAAATTTAAGCTATTAAGGAGGCAGGATATAGAATGGAACATGAAGCTGGAGTGTATAAACTCCTTTGGAATGTTTTCATATAATGTGTAGGTGAAAAATGCTGACAGGCTACATACTCAGCTTCTCTTAAATAAATAGGAAGGTTTCAATTTTATGACAGTCAAAAAGTATTTATTAAAAGGGAAAATGGGTAAGAGAAAGACTGTCAAGAAATTTGAGATTATACAACATATAGGGTAATATAAGTCTGTGGTTAAAATTTAGAAATTTTTCCCAGTTTCTCATTGATCTTAGAAAAGTTATATCCTTTTGTTTGAGCTTGTTTACTTATGTTAAAATAAGCTATCAGTAGTCTTACCAAAGGCTTTAAGTCCTTAAATGTAAAGGCCTTACTTGTAGACATGCTGAAATCTTAGGAATCATTTTATAAACCAAAGTGTCTCCAAAAATATGTAAAAAGCATAGAAGTAAAGGAATGTGCTAATATAGTATTATCAAAAATGTACATAGCACTGTAGTTCTAAATTATTCTTCAGTTTTTGAATGTTTAGTACATTGATATCTTATTTCTACTAGTGCTTGACACCATGGTTCTTGATGGTCTTTGGTTTAAAATTTAATTCTTTAACCATCTGTGAAAATAATTATAGGTTGGCCGGTTGGGGTAACTCAAGCCGGTAATCCTAGTACTCTGGGATACTGAGGCGAGAGGCTCGCTTGAGCACAGGAGTTCAAGACCAGCCTGAGCAAGAGTGAGACCTTGTCTCTACTAAAAATAGTAAAAATTAGCCGGGTGTTGTGGTGCATGCCTATAGTTCTGGCTACTCAGGAGGCTGAGGCAAGAGGATGACTTGAGCCCAGGAGTTTGAGGTTGCTGTGAGTTAGGCTGATGCCACGGCACTCTAGCCTGGGTGACAGAATGAGAGTCTGTCTCAAAAAAAAAAGAAAAAAGAAATAATTACAGGTTGAGTATACCTTAGCTGAAATACTTGGGACCCAGAAGTATTTCACATTTTTTTAAATTTTGAAATATTGGTAGGAACCAGTTGAGCATCCCTGATCTGAAATGTTCCTATGAGCATTTCCTTTTAGTGTCATCTTTGCTTTCAAAAATCTTCAGATTTTAGAATATTTTAGATTTTGGGATTAAGGATGCTTGATCTATAGTAACATGAAGAATGCAATTTACTGAACATGTTCAGTTATATTATCTGATTTATTTATCCTGATTTCTTTCCCACAAAGTAGGTATTTTTAATTCTGTTTTACTGAAAAAAGATTTGTGTTTTGGGTTAAGCAGTTTATCTAACATGGCATCAATAAACTGTAGACCTAATATTTGAATCTATGTATTCTGACCCAGTAACCTCTATGCTTTTTATCCCATATCTCATTGATGTTCACTTCTCTCACTAAAACTTGGGAATGCTAGACACAATTGGTACATGTCACATATACAGACAATCCCTGACTTACAATGGTTTAACTTATGATTTTTTGACTTTATGATGGTGCAAAAATGATACACATTCAAGAGAAATCCTACTTTGACTATTCATACAGCCATTCTGTTTTTCAATTTCAGTATTCAATAAATTACATTACATGAGATATCCGACATTTTATTATAAAATAGGTTTTGTGTTAGATGATTTTGCCCAACTGTAGGCTGATGTAAGTATACTGAGCACATTTAAGGTAGTCTAGGCTCTAAGTAATGATGTTCAGTAGGTTAGGTGTATTAAATGCATTTTCAACTTACGATATTTTTTTTTTTTTTTTTTTTTTTTTTTTTTTGAGACAGAGTCTCTCTTTGTTGCCCAGGCTAGAGTGAGTGCCATGGCGTCAGCCTAGCTCATAGCAACCTCAAACCCCTGGGCTCAGGCGATCCTGCTGCTTCAGCCTCCCGAGTAGCTGGGACTACAGGCATGTGCCACCATACCCAGCTAATTTTTTTTCTATATATA